CCCACTTGCATTCAGCATCCCAAGGAAAACAAATTTAAATGTGCTGGCTAGCCAACAAAACCGCAAGATAAAAACATTGAAAAAACAAGAATTTATCATTTTTGGCAAAAAATACGAGGAATATCATGGGCCTGAGTGCTTAACTGAATTAAATCAATAAAATGTAGTAATTTGGGGGATAAAGTAGAAAAACAAAAGTGCAGCACTTGTCACACATTTTCACTTGATTATTTGTGTCATGGAAAAAAAAGAAGAAGAAAAAAAAAAAACAGATCTGAGGGCAGCAATTCAGGGAACCAGACTGTTGACAGGCTAAATACATAATATTCATGCCAAAACCAAAACCAAAATATCAGGCAGAATAAATGGAGCTTAGAGCTGTGTTTTCAGGACAGGAAGGGGGGAAGGTAGGAGGAATTTAAGTTTGATAGTAATACGATAACATGGACCAGTACCGATTGTTCTGGTGTGGACACAGGTTTCTTTTCATAATAAAAAGAGGTAATTACTGAGCAAACTACACTTAATACTGTATGCAAACGAAACATACTTCTTTTAATGTCTTTTAATGAATGAATCTCAAGAAGTTGTGGAGACTTATTACTGGGATAAAACATTGAGTGACTTATCAGCTATTTGCACCTGCATTTGAAATACTGACAGTTCAAAGGATTGATTGGACAACAACTTGTATTGTTCACACCTTTACTACCACCAAGATATTCTTGTCAAATAACCTGTTTCTTATCAATCTAATGGCTCCCGGATGGAGATAAGAGGCCAGATTAACAAGTTTTCTCCAGCTACTGTGTGTAAGGGTTACATATCCTGAGAAATGAATCTCACCACACCAATCTCATCACTTCATTTGACAAGGCGAAACTAACAAAACACTTTGTTGCATTAAATAAAGTGTGCAGAAAGTTACCCAAGTAGGCAGCCTTTCACCTTGATTTTTAGTATTAACCCAAATGTACTGACAGTTTCTACAAGGCTTAAAAGTTTGGACTGTTATTATTTTCGTAAGCCAAATTCTTGATTTGTACAACTTTATTAAATCTCATTTAAGTCTAAATTTCTAATATTTCATTCTGTTGAACAAATCGACAGCACAAATAGAGACGAGTCAGTCACAAAAGCTTGCTGTGTGGTGGTTGGAAAACTAATTTAATAATGTCAGCATGAGCCTCCGTGAGCCCCTGTTCATGCCAGACCAAGTAGGGCTTTAGCAGCAAAACCCTCCAGTGTATTGATTCATGACAGGCTGTGCTCTATTGTTTTTTAGTTTAACTTTTCATCTACGAAGGAATGAATGTATAAGTTAATATAGCTTCACTTCTATAATGCTGAATCAGTCACTGTGGGTGGAGGGAAACAAGCAGGCTGCAGCTTCTCATGGAATAACCTTCTTTAAATCAACAGCATCACAGCAAGACATTTTGAAACACCCTCAAATTCTTTCTCTCAGGTTTCATACCTTCCCAGGACAATAACATCAGGTATGACTTAAAATAACCCCGAGGCTAGGGGCACTAAAGGGCAAATAACTGATGAAAACAAGAGCAACAATATATGACGAGTCCACAAAAGCCCAAAGGAACATTGTTTAACTTATCCAACAACTGACTATCATGTTTAATAAACCATTGTAATTACACTTAAGTGGGTAAAGCAGACATAAAAACTACCCTACAGAAGCTTAGAGGGTACACTAATTACAGTTATACTTTAACGAGAAAGATAACTTTGGGCCAGTCTCCTTACCTCCTGCATGAAGCACTGACGTCATGATGGAAGGCACCCAGGAGGTTTCACTGTTGGAGGCGTTGAACTCATTCTGCAAGTCGGTGTAGAAGATTCCCACACAGGAGGGAAACCCCAAGGTCAACGCCAAATCCACCATGGTGGCTACCACCACCACCCAGCCCCAGCCTCCATCTGGAGCCGTGACCACCACTGCTACTGGCCCCGAGTGTCTGCCTTCGCCTCCCTGCCCCCTCTCCTCGTGTTCGTGGCCGTTGGCTTCCTGCATTTCCTCCATACTGTTGGCCTGCTGGAGAACCGTGGAGGCCTCCATGTGCAGGCAGCAATCGCTCGTTCCCCTGATTCCATTTCGCTGAGTCATTTTCAGCTCAGCCGTTCAGCCAGGGCTCCCGTGTTAGCTCTGCAGGGTGTGGAATCGCTTTTGTAGTGCATGTCACTGAAACTGCTGCAATCTTTAAGGAGACCTACAACCACAAAGGCAAACTGTTAATCACATTGCGTGGAGGAGCTGAAGTGGAGAACAGTTTCAGAGAGACTAAGTTATCTGAACAATCATTGTACTGCATGAAACACGACATTTGGTGGATGTTCTTCCTTCAGGGGTGAATCCTAATAATTTGAATAGCCTTAAATGTCTCAACAACTATGAAATCTGGTGCATGATGTTCCCCTAAATCAGGGGTGTGCAATCCTGGTCCTGGAGGGCCACAGTCCTGCATGTTTTAGATGTTTCCTTCTTCCAACACACCTGATTCCAATGATCAGGATCGTTATCAGGCTTCTGCAGAGCTTGATGATGAGCTGATCATTTGAATCAGGTGTGTTGGAGGAGGGAAACATCTAAAACATGCAGGACTGTGGCCCTCGAGGACCAGGATTGGACACCCCTGCCCTAAATTAACTATGACGTTTCACCTCCCGCCATCAATACTTCAAAATCAGCAAATGTTAGCATGCCAAGCTAAGATGGTGAACATTGTAACCAATATGCATTGAAAAAAAGCACTATCAGTTTGAGCATGAAAGCATGCTAGTGTTAGCATTTTACACAAACTATGACTGTACAGCTTCAAAGAGTCCACAAATATGTAAGTAGAGCTGTGATGAAGAAAAGAGCCCATCTGTTGCTACAGACAGCCCCTACCCCATGACCACTGTTAGTAGTAATTCCCTGTAACTGTCTGCCAGACCCCTCATTCTCTTATCATTTGTTGTCTATCCGACTGCTTGATTCAACCACCTTTTGTTCTCTTACCTCTCGTCACTGATGAGTAACTATATACTAACCAACCACTATTCACTTGGGTATTTACAGCCCCTCCCTACCCTCTTACACGCCCTATAAAGTGTGTAACTCTGCAGATGTTCTGGGTCGGCTTACCTTCACAAGCTTGTGCTCTGCGTCGGTAAACAAAGCGCATACCGGAATACTAATACACACCCCACTACAGCAAACTTTGCACGTGACTATGGCAGATTTCTTCAACAATTAATCAATTAGATGTCTACTACTAAGATAATCTTCAACTATTTTGATAATCCATTCATTGACTTGAGCCATTTTTTACAAAGAAAATAAGTCAAAATTTTCTGATGCCAGTCACAAAATGTGACTATTTTCTGGTTTCTTTCCACAGCTATACCAGTACATCGAACATCTTTGGGTAGACATTTAAGGATGTCTTTTGTGTGACATCATGTGTCTGCATACCAAGACCACCTGCACATACGATAAACACTGGTTCACTCCTAACCTCAGGAAGCTGCGTCAGACCAGGGAGGAGGCCTACAGAAGTGGGGACCAGGTCCTATTCAAAACAGAAACAAAAGCTGACAAAGTCGATCAAGCTAAGGCGAATTACAGCGAGCGGCTGAAAAACAGCCTCTCAGCCCACCACCCTGCGTCCGTTTGGACAGGTCTGCAGCACATCACTAGCTACAGGAGACCATCCCTGTAGAAAACCTCAGACTTGCTGACGACCCGAACAGCTTCTACGGCAGGTTTGAGAAGCGAGTCCTTTCACACCTTCCACCCACACAACAGGACTCCCTGCAACGGCCACACCCTTCCCATCAGATTCCCCAACCTGCACTAAGGATCTGTGAGGAGGACGTGCATCGGCTCTTTCAGAGACAGAACATCAGGCCCCGACATCCGTGGTCATGAAATATTTTGAGAGACTGTGTTGAGCCACCTGAAGGACATCCGTGTGTGAAAAAGAATCACCCCTCTAAGAATGAGGATGTTGAAGTCAGAGTCTTTGTATTCACAGAATCTCACAAAACGCTGGGTTATGTGAGAGGAGCTCCCCGAGTAAAAGGACTGGCAGTATTTATATTCTTCTTATCATGCTACCTATGGAGGGACAAGTTCTCTCTGTTCTGGGCAGTTATTCTTTGTCTTGTCACGGGAGGACTGCTTCTTGTTTCTTTCACATTAATTTCCCTCATACCCGTCAAATCAAGTCAATCAAGTCTGCAGCGAGGATAACTGCGGCCGATCTGTCCTCCATCCAGAACTTGTACCTGTCCAGGGTCAGGAAGAGGGCGGGCAGCATCTCTGCAGACCCCTTCCACAAACTTTTTAAACTCCTCCTGTCCAGTGGGTGCTACAGAGCGCTGTACGCCAAAACCACCAGACACACAGACAGTTTCCCCCTCCCCCAGACTGTTAACCTGATGAACTCTTACTAGACTCAGGAACCCCTGTGCAATAGCCAACTCCAATGCATATTTGCACTGTTTTATACATATTCAACGACCCCAGTAACCCTGCCATTTTGCACACACACTGTAAATGCTGCTATTTATGGACGTTTATATTGCTCTTATTTTTGTTGTTCTAGTTCAGGGGTCTCGAACTCCGGTCCTCGAGGGCCGCAATCCTGCAAGTTTTAGATGTTTCCTTCTGCCAACACACCTGATTGAAATGATCAGCTCATCATCAAGCTCTGCAGAAGCCTGATAATGATCCTGATCATGTGAATCAGGTGTGTTGGAAGAAGGAAACATCTAAAACTTGCAGGATTGCGGCCCTCGAGGACCGGATTTCGAGACCCTTGTTCTAGTTTATTTCCTTCACTCAAGTTTTACCTTATTTTAGTACTTGTGATTACTGTACACAGAGAGCGAAGGTTCACCAGAGTCAAATTCCTTGTCTGCGTGTACAAACTTGGCCAACACAGTTGATTCTGATCTTTCGGAAGCAAAAACTATTTTTAGCCAAACCACTAACAAGTTACTCCAGCAAACATTTAACAAATTAATCGACAATGAAAACAATCATTAGTTTAAGCTCTATTCTGAGGTATTTCTTGCCTATTCTTACTTTGTTCTGACAACAAATAAATGCCCTGCTGGGTTTTACAGTAGCATAATATTATTATAGTGTAAACTGCACCAATAGTTTCCCAACAAACGCTTTCTCTTGAAAGACTGCTGACAGGAACTGCACTTTTCCAAAACACTTGGCTCACAGGTGAGTAACTTGCTGTAAATTTTACGACTCAGCCAGTTATGGAAATGAGTCCTCAGTCCTGACTCTTCCTGGGAGAGTCAACAACTCATCAGTAGACTCCATGCTATTAACACAAATAAATGCAAAGAGGTAAGCAATATGCAATGGGATCAGAAACAGGTGCAGGAAAACCAGGGGAAAGTTTGAATCAATAATTCGGTTGGCTTTAAGCAAAGGCACCGATAAGAGTTTGTAAAATGAAGGAAACTCCCACATCTTGGCATTGCTCCTCAGCCAACAGCTGGCGTCACTGTATTATTTAGAAAAACTTCAGTCAGTCATGAATCAGCCGAAGATTTCTCGTCTTCTGCGTAGAATGTAAAGCAGAAGGGAGCGGACCAGACCGCACACATTTCCTGTCTAAGTAAATCACTTATCAGATTTCAAAATCTGAAAATGACCCAACATTCATGTCTGCAGTTGAGTGCACGAACAGAGGAGACGTCTGCTGAGTTTCAGGGTGAACTCGCCTCTGGATGTGCAGGGAACGTGGCGAGCATGGGACCAACATGAGCTTGTGAAAACCCTTCGGATGAATAGATCTCTGTGCAAATGTCCCAGAAGAATTTCCCCCAAGATACTTAATACCATTTCCAGATCTCCCAACCGCTGAAGGAAGGAAACATTTTCTGAGATTATATTCCTCAGAATACAGCTCTCGTGCATTCACGCACATGTGGGTGGTCTGTGGCCGACATAACACCGATAAATGGATCGACTTTTGCTCAAATATTTTAAAAAACTGCAGAATTTCAAAGTGAAACAACACAAATCTGCTTGTTAAGTTCTTACCAAAACACTGAATGGTTCGCTCAGTTACTCAGAGTACAGACACATGTTGTATTGTAGCACTTCATGTATTTACCAGTTTTTTGTAAAGTATTTAAATACTTGTAAGGTTAAAAGAACGACTATTTCGTCTCTTCTAATTGTAATGTTGTTTTCAGGGTCTGTTACAGCAGTAGTTTAACATTGCATGCAGCATTACTGTAGCTTTAGTGCATTTTTAGACTTATTGATTTGGTGTCTTACACAAAAACAATGATGCAAAGCACAGAGACTGAACAGAAAGTCATGCGTTACCTTGTTGGAATGAAGGATGCACTGGAGTGTAAAGACGAAACTTAGTTCCTGTTTGACAGCATAATTATTAAACCACCACATTTTTTTTTTTTTTTAATGTAAACATACTTAGAATTGATGTGATGTTCTAAATAATTTAGCGAGATGCACGCAGAGAGTCACGTTAGCAGAATATTTTGTCTGTTTCGGCTGAACAAACACTGTTTTACGGCCGGTATGTGCTGCACTATTACCATGGCGACATGCGGTACCATCCTGGAGTCTCTACAGTCTGCCAGGCAACCGAAAAACTCCGACGCATAGTTTAAACCCCCTCAGCATGATCATTTACACTTAAGTTTTTAAGCAAAATAAACAAACAATTTGCGAGTTACTCAGGTGGACCTTGTTGGGTTTAACCAGATCGAAGCTACCTGTTGAAACCTCTTGTTTCCAGGATTTTTGATAAGCTATTAGCGGTAGCTTAATATCTACAGTCCAGATAGCAGCCTGACTGAGCAAATCAAACAGTCCACTTTCTCACACCTCTGAAGCTCACCGATCAACACGTGGTATTTCGTTGATTACTCTGCACAAACATTGAAGTGTGAAAATGACAGATTATCATTTTATGGTGGATTATTTGCTGAACTATTTCTTGGCTAGGACAACTACTAATGCTAACAACAAGCAAATAAAAGTGTGGCGCAAAGGCTAAACTCGCTAAAATGCTAAACTGCTGTATTTACACTTAAGTTTTTGAGTAAATTTTAAAAAGATATAACGTGAAGGCTTTTGTTGCCTTTCCATGCCTGTTCACAGCCTCTATGCTAAGCTAAGCTAACTCAGTTCTGGGGGCAGCCTCATATTTGTAGTACAGAAGCATTAAAATCAGATTAACAACACTCTTGCATCTGCACATTCAATATGAATGATTGAATTTCCCTTCTGGGATAAATAAAGTAAAGTATTTTTCATGAAGCCGTCGCCAGCAGCTGGTTAGCTTAGCTTAGCACAAAAACTGGAAACGAGGAGAAACATCCAGTCTGCCTCTGAAGCAAAGATAACTTACAAGCAATTACTTTTAATTTCTTTTCCACTGGAAAAGAAATTTAAAAAAGATGATTTGAGCTGCAGTTTGTACCAAAGCAGTGTTTGTTTCAACAGGCTGCTTGTGACTGGACATTATGATTTGTGTTGTATTTGTATGTAAACAATGGAGTCGGAGCTGCTCAGCTATGTGATGACACCATTTCTAAATTCAAGTCCCTTTTTCTGCATTATGTTCTGTTGAAAACAAACAAACAAAGGAAACATTCGTAAACAGAAATGGCAACACTGATATATCTGTGTTTGGTCAATTGTCTGTCAGGCTCCTGAAAACACCTGTCAGTCTTTTACACCCAAACCAAGACATAATCTAGATCAGGGGTGTCCAATCCTGGTCCTGGAGGGCCACTGTTGTGTTGGTTGATGACGTTCAAACTCACTATGACTGTTGTCTAGTCAGTTAGTCTGACTCACCAGATGTTCACTGAGTGCATACGTTTGCCTTTTTTTTTTTTTCTTACACTATGTGTCACTCTACTATGGAAAGCAACAACCTACATGCTAGAAATGCTAAGCTACTTTTTTCTAGTTTGGTGAATTGTCCAATTTGTGATGGCACCAAAATAATTCCTCCGTCACTGTTTTAAATGAACAACATCTTTGCATCCTGGTCTCAGCTTCGCCCAAGATGATTGTGATGGATTTAAAGAAACACAAACATGCCAGAGCGTTTCATCTCCCTCTAGTAGGATGACGATGAGGTGCATCAGGCTATTCTACAGCATCGTGTCAGTGTTAGAGAATGGTCTATCTCTAGATCAGGGGTGTCCAATCCTGGTCCTGGAGGGCCACAGTCCTGCATGTTTTAGAGGTTTCCCTCTTCCAACACACCTGATTCACATGATCAGGATCGTTATCAGGCTTCTGCAGAGCTTGATGATGAGCTGATCATTTAGTAGAATAGTCTGATGCACCTCATCGTCATCCTACTAGAGGGAGATGAAACGCTCTGGCATGTTTGTATTTCTTTAAATCCATCACAATGATCTTGGGCGAAGCTGAGACCAGGATGCAAAGATGTTGTTCAATTAAAACAGTGACGGAGGAATTGATTTGGTGCCATCACAAATCGGACAATTCACCAAACTAGAAAAAAGTAGCTTAGCATTTCTAGCATGTAGGTTGTTGCTTTCCATAGTAGAGTGACACATAGTGTAAGAAAAAAAAAAAAAACATATGCACTCAGTGAACATCTGGTGAGTCAGACTAACTGACTAGACAACAGTCATGGTGAGTTTGAACGTCATCAGTCTGTAATAGTATGTGCAGGCTTTTTCTTGCCATGTAAAATATTTTGCTTGTGTTCTATTAACAAAAAAATTAAAAAAAAAAGCAGGAACCTACATCTTATTGGACAATTGGAAGGAAAGTTGTTGCCAATATTTCATGCATGGAAAAACAAAAAGCAGCCCAAGAATCAAAGTGCACAACAGTTAATGGACAAAACAGGTCCCTCTGCATACTTCTGACTATTAAGTGTGTATTTCTTTCTTCATGAGTGGAAGGAAATTAAGGCCTCAGCGTTGTGAACCTCCAGACATCCGGTTCTGCTCTTTCACCTCCTGAACTCTGCGCACACTGCTGCGCACGTCCCTTAATTGCAGCTCCACGCATCCCTTAATTGTTGCTGCTGCTGGAGGTGTCAGGAGGCAGCGAGGAGGGCGTCAGGAGAACATATCTGCTTTTATTCTCTCCCCTGATAAGTCAGAGCGATGCCGGGCAGCTGATCTCTCCTGTGGGACAGCAGCTCTGCACAACTCCTGGAATCTGCGCACCGGATCCAGCAGCACACACAGACTGGTCATTCCCAACCTGGATCATTTACTCAATTCACATTTCAGCTGCATTGACACGGACCGCTGTCTCCCCCCCTTCATGCACCCACGTGGCATCTCGTTAATATTTCCACCAACACACGCATTCACACACTCCCATCAGTCACTCACAACAACTGGATGTGTTCTACCAGGATGGCTTTCCATGATCCGCTCCTCGCATCAGTCTTAATTCCCTGACAGATCAGCGCAAACAGGCAGCGACCAGGAAGCGCGTCCAGCATCGGACACTTCCGTGAATTTGCGGACGATAAGAGGACATCTACTCGCCTCGTTTCAGCGTCGGTCGCGGCTCCGCTTCGGCCCCACAGGCGCGGTCGCTCCGTGATGACTGCCGGAGCAGCAGCTGCCGTCCGGGCCTCTGATTGCCGCGGAGCTTTAGAGGCCGCGGTGGGCGGGGACCTGGGGGTGGGATGCGGGCTGCGCAGGCCCCGGCCCCGCTGCTGCTCCACGGAGCTGCCAGACTGTGCATAATGAGCTGTAATGGTGGACACAGTGTACCATGCGTGTGAAAGGGAGCTCTATAGGCAGCACATCTACTCGAGGACAGTACTCGAGTACAATTCAGGAGTACTTGTACGCGAGTATTTCTGTTTTCTGCTGCTTTTTACTTCTTCTACGCTGCAATTCACAAGCAAATGTTGTAATTTGTACTCCACTACGTTTATTTGAAGCCTTTAATCGCTTTAGATTATTAATACATGATGGCACTCACTGTGACAGGATTTGCATTATTTCAGATTTAATCAGTTTCTGCTTTTCTGTTAGAAAACTTCACAGTTTAGATTTTTCAGCCCATGAAAAAAAAAATCACTACTTTTAAAAACAGTTTTGATTTGTTTTATTTTTCAGATTTTCCCTCTTTGTTAAAGGTAACAACTAATAAAATCACACACAAAAAAACCCCAAAACTATTACTTCACCTGTTAACCCCAAGAAAAGAGGAATAACATCTATTTGTTCAAAAATGGTAATTTCTGCTTTTACCATGTTTAATTGGAAATTTCTGCTATTTTTATTGCAGCAAAAATCTTGTTATTCTACAGATATTTGTTGGTATTTGGAAGGAAACGTATGTATATTAAGGATTTAAAATCATAAATATATCTTTGACATTTTAACGTTTTTTCCCTGTTTTGGTAAATTGTAGGTAACGCCTGGTAAAATCACAGAAAAACTATCAATCTGCATGTTAATGGTTAAATAAATAAATAAAACAAACTGCAAATCACATCCACATTTAAAAACTGAAAATATTGTACAAATGGTGCGTTATTGTTCTACAACATTTGACTATTAAACGAAATCCTTTGGACACGATTAAAAAATATCAACATTTTACAGATATTTGCCTTTATTTGAAAGAAAAGTTATGTTTATTAAGGATTACAATATAGTAGATCCTCTTTTTATCTGTTATTTTATTAATTTCCCCTGTTTGGTCAATTACAGATAATAAAAATCACAGAAAAAAAATTACATTCTGACTGTGATTAAACAAACCAAAACTTTAAATATCATCCACATATTGATTTATTTTACCAATAATAGTTTGTTCTTTCACATTGTATGACTTTAATAATTCAGTTTTACTGTATTTAGATCAGATATTGTTGCAGATGCTGTTATTGTCACATTTTTTATAAAAGTTTTTTAACATTACAGTATTGCACCATGTTTTTTAGTTTTTCCAAACACCACTCCTGTTAGAATTTCACCATTATTTTATAGTTCGCTTGCTTTTTTGTCAATTTTTGTGTGTGTGTGTTTTTTTTCTGAAGTAAAATTAAACACTGCCAGTTTAGATTCACCATATTAAAAATACACACCACACAGGAGCTCAGTGCAAAAAAAAAAGTCATTACTGAGATTTAAATCCTTTTTTTTTTTCCAGTATTACAAATCTCCACCTTTATTTTTGCTAACAGACGGATGCTCTGTCGTTCTTCAGCGCCTGTTTTTTCTGCTGGTCTTTGCTGAAGAGGAAATGTAACCTACCCTTCTCCTGAATACACCAGAAAGCTGTTTGGATTCAAGTTAGACGACATGCAGACACTCAGACAAGTACAGGGCAATATGTTGCTCAAGAATTTTCTCTGGGATTATAAAGTTCTATCTTGTTTCATATCAGTATTTAAATGTCTAATTCCTGCTGCATGGGGCTTTGTTTACCATAAATTCACCAACATGTTCTTGTTTAATGTTGCTATAATGCGTAAATAGTAGTTAACACAGAAATGACATCACCTAACTCACCAATCTAATCCTTTTTGCAAGTTCATTTGTATGATGAAATAAAACCTTTCGAAGCCCCTTGCAAATTCTTTAAAAACTTCAGCGTGTTCATTTTTCAAAATCCACAGTCAGCAGAACAAATAAAAAGTCAGTGAGCCACATTTTAAAACACAGACACATTTTATGATTAAAAACCAGACTGGGTTTTGTTAAAATTGATACATGTAAAGAAACGACATTGGTAGACAAAATTCAAAAAATATAAAATAAATAAAAGTGAAACAATCAGACAAAATGTTTCGTCAGCTTCCAAACATTTCTCCACAGTCTCCATTGACAATATTCACATTTGACATCAATACTGTTGATAAATGAACACAAAGTAAGTTAATAGGTGACATTTTCAATACGTCTAAATGAGTGTACAAGTGTGCATGTCCACAAATGCATGCAGGTGTTTACAGATTAACTGGCAAAATGATCCATGAATTTAAAAAATCTTTTTTTTTTCTCTTTTTTTTTCTTTTGTTATTTTTTTTGCGTGTTGACCTGCGGGTCGGATAAATGCTATATAAACCAAGGTTGGGGGTGGAAGGGTCTGCAATCTGACTGATTGGTTAATTTGTGGTCAAAGCTAGCTATTCTTTATCTACTGTTAAGTTAAATTGACGTGACGAAGATACAAAACCAACAAAGAAACGGAACATGTGAGTAGAGAATATGTCTAGTTGTAGACCAACTGCTCCACACAAGAAATCTACACCTACAAACCACAGAGCCATGCCGTCCCTCTGCTCCCCCACCATGCATCACATACACTTTGCACTAACACAGAGGTCAGACAAAATCCAGTACACAACATCATAATCTCTAGAACAATGCATGCTCTCATGTTTTCACGTGCCCAAACAACAGAGATATATTTTTTTGCAGATTTGTTAACATTGCACATTATTTGTAGACTAACTAGTGCAGGTGAACGTAAAAACCAATGGTCAAAAGTTCCTTTTTATCGTTTTAAAAAAAGTGGTTTTGAATCAAATATTAGGATAATCACACTGCAAAGTTCAGCTCGGTCAGTGGTTCCCAACTTTTTTGGCTTGTAATCCCTTAAAATAAAGCGACCTCCTGTCACAGGTTGCATATGTCGACTGGCTGTAACCAGTTTCAGCAAAAACTTTTTTGACTTGAAGATTTTTTTGGTTCCTGAAGAAGTAAAATTATCTGGAAATTCACAAGAAACACAACAAAGATTCTATCGCCATGTTGGCAGTGCGAGGCTGAATTAGAGATTAGCAACAGCTCACTAACATGCTTGAAGTTTGAGGGTCTATTTTGACCTTTTTAGCCATATTATTTTAGCATGTTGGCATGGTAACATCACAGTACACCGTTATTACAGTTAATAAGAACAGCCTTGCTAGCTTTAAGACCCTGTGCATTAGCACAGTCTTGCTTTGAGCTAAATGCTAACATTAGCCTGCTAACATGCTTAAATTCAGAAGACATACATTTCACTTGTTAGTTAAGCATGTTGGCATGCTAACGTTTGTTCACTAACATTAACCACAAAGTAGTAATTGAAGTCACACTGCTAACATTAGCTTGCTAATGCAGTTGAGTGTACAAAATATACATGTTCCTTGTTAACTACTAGTTTAGCATGTTAGCATGCTACTGATTATTTATTAGAACAAAACACAAAATATAGCAGACTGAAATGTGCATTAACCATTTAGGTCACTCGGCTAAAAGTCTACAGCCATGCTAGCAGTGAGAGACTGTATTTCGGAATAGCATTGCTTTGAGTTAAATTACAAAAATTACATTAGCATAGCATAAGGTCTTTTTAATGTGTTAACTTTGTTAGCTTAGCATAATAGCATGCTAACACTGATTCACTAGCAAGAAGTACAAATCATAGTTGACTATGATGTGTATTTTATCACTCATGAATTAAAATGTTTGCTTTTGGGAACAAAACAGTCCAGGGAACGTTCCTCAAGCCGTGATGTTTGCAGGACAATTGAAAAATGTTCCCTTAATGTTCACAACTTTGGGGATAGACTTGAAGCTAAATGCTAACATAGCTCAATATGCTAACATGCTGATGATTAGTTGTTATAAGGTTTACCTTGTTCATCACTTTAGCTCAGTGTGCTAACTCGGGAACATTTGTTTATTGGCACAAACCATTGACACCGGTTTAAATATTGAGTCAGACTACATCAGGTTTATCCGAAATTGCAGCCTGTGCAGTTTATTAATTGCAGTTAAATTGGAAATCTCTTCATGGTTCAGTCCTAGCTGCTAGCATGGCTGACGTGATAAAAAGCAATGATTGAAGGAAAGTCTAAAACATAGCAACTTCCTCTTTGTTTTTGCTTTTGCGCCCACCGTCAAGTTGGGAACCACTGAACAGTGCAACCAAGGTAAGATCAGACTGGGTTCACGAAGGTACAGTAAGTGCTTCAAACGTTGATTACAAACACCTAAAAAGAAAAAAAAGGGCTCATTATAGGTGGTTTTAGCATGCAACTCAAGAAACAAGAAGCGAGTTTATAGTCAAATCGATTTCCGATAACAAGTGCACTGCTGGAGTTTTACTAAGATACAAGCAGAAGAGGGACGCCTGCTTTGGCCGGCCTTCCCCCCGTCGACTGCTCCCGCTTGGTCGTGCTGTGAACACAACAAGCAGCCACCGCCAGTGTTTACAGCAGATATGGACACAATTTTGAATCTCCAGGAGTGTAAGGGATTGTGGGTGGATTTAGCTCATAAGCGATGGCACAAAGAAAGCAGCTGTCTGTAGGTATATATATATATATATATAATAAAAGAACGCGAGGGGTAATGGTTTTTGTTTGGCTTGCCTCTTACTGAAACACAAACAACAGAAACCAACCTGTATACATTATACCTCAGGTAGGTGCCTCCTGGCTTTTTTTTTAAGGTATGAGAGGCACCTTATGATAAGAGGGGAGTACAACTGTGCACAACACAGGTCAAAGGCACAACACTGGACACAGACGAAGGGAAACGACACCCAAGGTGCTTTGCAAAAAGGGCCCAGAGAACAACAAGAGAGAAAAAAAGTGCTCCTCAATGAGACGTTTGGGCGTTTTCAGCAGCACACGGTCTGCTCGTGATTAGTAGAATAAAACTGCACAAAAAACACACACTCGAGAGGAAATAATAATAATAAAAAAAAAGAAAGAACAACAACAAAGAAGAAGTCACATCAAAGTTTGAGCTCTGAGGCCTGACTGGTCAGGGATCATGACGACAGCGAAGGTACTATTTCTTTTTTTTCCCTGTTAAAACGCATTCTTTTTCTACATGCTCGGTAACTGCATCAAATATGTTCTTTGTACAAACGATGGGTTATCAAAGTGATCGACGCCGGTGATCGGTATCGGTGATATTAAAGGCTCCTCAGCTTTCAGGAGCGGTGATTAAAATGTGAACGAGATGTTTGGATTCTCCGTCTGATATGTGTCAATATGGCTCACACCTTGCATTAAGTTACTCGTATGAAAAGGCTGCATCTACACCAGCAACAACATCACAGTTAACATCATATTTCAGTGAGGTGGCTGCAACAATCAGTCAATTGACAGAAATTAAGATTTTTACTATTAATTAATAATTCTGAGTCATTTATTAAGCAGAAAGGCCAAAAAAAACACTTGTTAGTCAGATAATTTGCCACTTATTTCTGTTTTTTTATCACAGTAATCGGATTATTTGGGGTTCTGGGCTGTTGGTCAGACAAAACAAGACGTCTGAAGATGCCTTTTTTTGCTGTTTTCTCACATTTTACAGACTAAAAAGTGATTAATTGAGAATAAAATCTGTGTCAAGTGGCAGGAATAGTAAAAAAATAAGGAAGCTGGGGTGGCTGCAACTAAAATTCTGAGGCGAAAATGTACAAAAAGGTTTTGAACACGTTAATCAACGAGCATGTTCACTTTCGGTGAAGGCGTGCAAACCCTTTTTTTCCACTTTGACGATATAAAATGCACGAAAAAAGCAAATTGTCTGCACATTTACTCAAGATGGCATCTTAAAATATCTAGTTTGGTCAATTTACTACAATATAAAACAGAAAAAAACAAGAACATTTGAAGAATATTAGGAATTTCTGCTTGACAAATATGGATTAATCATCTGTCAGTGGTTTTAGCTCTTGATATAGAAGCCAGTTCAGAAAATCATCCAACTCTCATGCATATACTGGAATCAGGTGAGCATCTATGTCTGCTTCCATGTTGTTGCAGTGTTGCTAGAAGTGGCAAAAACAGCACGATCACGCGGCAACTTAATGTCAAGCACATTTCACGAGAAACATACTTCGGCCACGTTAGTACCCATCTGCTGGCACGGAAATAAAACGTCACGCAACGTCTGAAACGAAAAGGCTTCCCTCAGCAGCTCAAGAAGCTCAGGAAAAAAAACCGAGGACACTTCCCGTCTGGCAGGTTCACTTACAGTGCGTAAATCTGTGTGGTAATGCAGGCTCAGGTATCTCAGGGCTTTTAAGCGTGAGCGGTACAGTTCAGCTTGCGCCACGGTTGCTACAAGTGCTGCGAGAATGTAAGACAACACAGTCGTTTGGGCGTTAAAAGTTGAGGAGTGGCAACGAGAGGCAGCTGTGAGCGAGCAATCGGCATGAGAATAGCACACGGCCAAGGGAGAGGAGGGCGCTTCGAGGTTTTGAGGCAGCATACAGACTGGCCACGGTCCAACCCCCGCCACGCCACGCTCGTCCAGATAAATGGCAATGACAGTAGTTTTCCTTATCCCTAATTACAATTGTAAGATATGCAATAGATCAAAGTAGGATATTTAAGAGAAAACTTATTGACAATAGCTGTTTTTCTTCTTTTCTTTTTTTTTTTTTTTCTCGAGGAACACTACAGAAAAACGTGCAGCTGAAAAACTTGTGATATTTCAATCATGGACAGTAAAGCAGAGAGGCACTGCATACACAAACCCACACCGGGCTGACCGGGTGGGAAAACTGGTTATGAAAACTGATATTTGTCCTCCATCATTTAAATAGACTCACCCACCAGAATATGTAAAATATGACAACTATGATACAGAAATCAATAATTACACCATTTGCATTCAATTTTTCATATAATTTCATCATGTAGCCTATATAGATTTATATAGATTCCTCACATGCCTTGACAAAGTGTACACTAGTGTAGTTTAAGTCTTTTTTTTCTTCTTCTTCTTCTTTTTTCTTTTTTTTTTTTTGGAGTCATTTCGTTTCGTGGAAATTCTCACAGATCGAATAGAGCCAGAAAACTGGAAACAACAGGAGCGGGATGTTGAGATCGGACCGCCGTAGGGTTTGTTGTGCCACGGCCTGCGAATCTGCGGAGACGGCGGCCATCGACACTCGCTCCGTCAATAGATTCAGGTAGAGAGAGAGAGGCTCAGTCAAGTGGAGTTGTTTTCATTCCTTTATGTCCTTTGAGAGTCCTGAGGAGATTTCTGCTAAATCGACAGCCGAACTTGTAAGAGAAGGAAGGATCCTGTCTGATAAAAGTGATGGAGATGATGAATTATAGTAGCTCTGCGCTGGGCGTCCATCCGCTGGCGACGACAAGAGGCTACAATCAGCACCGTAGCCTTCGCTGCCGTGACACTGACCATCGAAAATGCTGCAATGAGGGGGAGAAAAAAAAACACTCACTTGTCACCTCTTTCAAACTGGAGGAGAAGAAATGAGACGACAAGTCGGTGTGGCGTTGCAGCACTGAAGGAGAGGAGGAGGGCGCCGGGGAGCCCTCGCTGTGGAAAGGCACACCAGAGGAGAAGGGAGCAGGAGGATGATGATGATGATGATGATGATGATGAAGGTGGAGAAAATGTTCATGTTGTAGTTGTTGATTACGCGTTGTTTAGCTCAGGATCTGGGTCTCTTCACATCCGCGAGCCTCGTTCTTGAAGGATCTGTGAAGACAGAAGGAGAGAACAGATCAGATGAGCGTTGGTCCTGCGTTACCAAACTGTTCTCAACATGCAGTACAGAATGGTCTGACTGCACCTTCACAGTATTCTGTTACAGGTGGAAAAAAAACCTCTCTTGTTTGTAATTCTTTAAATCATCTTAGCAGCAATAAACCCAAGATGTAGCTCCTGGAAATTAGAATTTTGGAATCGTTTTGGGGCTGCAGGGTGGCACAGTTGGTAGCACTGTTGCCTCGCAGCAAGAAGGTTGCCGGTTCGCGTCCCGGCTGGGGCACCGGAATCTTTCTGCGTGGAGTTTGCATGTTCTCCCCGTGCAGCGTGAGTTCTCTCCAGGTTCTTCCTCCCACAAGGTCCAAAAACATGTTGAGGTTAATTGGTGATTCTAAATTGTCCGTAGTTGTGACTGTGGGTGTGCTTGGTTGTCTGTCTCTAAGTGTAGTCCTGTGATAGACTGGTGACCTGTCCAGGGTGTCCCTGCCTTCACCTTAAGTCAGCTGGGATAGACTCCAGCCCCCCATGACCCTCGTGAGGATTAAGCTATGTATAGAAAATGGAGGGATGGATGGAATCGTTTTGGTGGGCTAATTCACCAAAAGAACCAAGCAGGGTTGCCTTACTGCACAATACAAGCCTTTATCAAAATTTGCAAGTAGGTTGCTGTTTGGAGGTTGTTTCTGTTTTCTGAAGCAAAGGAGATAAAAAAAAAAAAAGGAAACACACTGATAGGAGAAGGGGGAAAAAAAGCCACAGCGGACTTATACCCCAAGTGTACATCTGGTGAGTCAGACTAGTTGAAGGCAGAAGATCTGCTGCAGGTGTAGGTATGCTAGATTTAAGACTTTTAGAGATCTTTGCAAGGCCACAAGAAATGTTTTACTTCACATGTCTAAAATGGCAACGAGAAGCATGAAAATACTTTTTCTTAGTGTTTTTTGCATGGGCTGGCAACAGATGGAGTCGAGGACAAAGCAACACATGCTGATACGTGGCTTTCTACTGCAGGAATTCTTGGCAGGTGTTAACCCTTTAAACAGTATAGGCCGCTATACCAGGCTGGCATGATGTCTCCCGTTCAACGCTGTAGACCGCTATATCGGTCTGCGGCTTTCACTGGTATATGGTGACTTTCTATTACATTCATTTTGATTGGCTATCAGTGGGAATCCCTGTATGTGAACAAGCAATTCAGTCATGAAATAAATTATGCAAATGAAGTAAAATGACGTCGTTTGACCCCAAAAATCACCAGAAAATGGGATTTTCACCACCTCGTTTCCAAAATGTTTATAAGTGATCAAAACTAACTAACTAATGACAAGACTTTGGCTGATGTCTCAGTTTATAAGAACTGATAATTAATTGCATATATGCCTGGTAATTATGAAGTTTACCTTTACCTGTTCTTTTTCACCTGATACCAGATATGTAATGATGTGAAGTCTACTTAAGAATTTATGAGTGATTAATCAGAACCATATCTGATCATGAATTTCAAGCAAAGTTACTTAGTGTTGAAGTGTATAAGGAATACACGTTTACTTAGTGTTGAAATGATTGAGTGGTTTACAAGGGCTGTCCCAACATTTGCCCTTTTGGTCTTTTGGACCCAACAGCATTGACTAAGACATTAACTCTGAGGCCCCAAAACAAAAACAAATGATAGCTACTGGTCCAGGGGGCTGTACTACGAAGTAAGATCAACATTCCCTGGATATCTTACAGAGATTCGGCTTGACTAACCCTAACGATCGCACTCAGGATAACTGGTCCCACGACGGTGGTTATCAACTCGCTAAGTCAACACAGGTTTGTCTGATCTGAGTAAGAGCGCGTGAACGTAAAATGGGCGGAGTTATCGGCATCTGATCAATCACGACTATGGAAAAGTTTGGCTGCAGAGCGGCTCACTTTACCGCCGAGGAGCAGAATATCATCTTTACAAAATATGAAGAATAATATAAAAACATCATAGGAGCAGAAAGCAGCAGCGTTGCAGCGACCAAAGCCAGGAAGGAATGCTGACAGAAAACTGCTGACTGTGTGAATGCACAGGTTCATTAGTTTATAATAAAATATGATCACTGGTCCATCATGAAGGCACGTAATCAGACAATAAGCACATCTGAGGATTCCTTTAAACTGATTTGTTGATTAATGTATATACTTGTGGCATATCTGACATTTTTTTAACTTTCAGCTGCGGTGTAAAAAGGACGTGGGAACAAATTAAGAACAAACAGAAACAGAATTCAAAGCGGTGCAGATTATTAAAGTATCCTACAAATACAAGCTTTAATGCTAAAGTCAGTTTACTGTTGTGGGGTGATATTGGTATGTAAAAAAAATAGGAAATAGCTTTGATATTGCCTGGAGCCAACAGGAAAAAAATGAATGAAGGAAGACAGGAGCTCATAGAGATCCTGGTCAGGGTGCCCTGTTTTGCCGTTCCTGAAAAACCCTCACACTCCTCAGTGATCCCTCACAATTCATTCTCCGATGTGTAGCAGGTCTTCTATAAATGCTGGTGATGCCATTTTGTTGAGAACTGCTTCGCTTTCTGCTCTTTCTGAAGTTTTACGGGAGAGAACTGATTTTCACAGAAGGTGTTACTATACCCAGTGATCTCAAGCTCGAACATAACCTGATCCGTAGCAGGTTATGTTCGAGCTTGAACCTGCTGCGGATCAGGTTAGCCGTTCAGCGTAAGTTACCATGGTGATGTACCACGGTAAGAAGTGAACCACCATCGCAGGACCGAAAACCCAGGATTTAACCTCAAGTTACCTCGCTAACCCAAATCCTGCTTCGTAGTACAGGCCCCATGTAGCAAACAGAACTATGTATGGAGAATTCTACGTTGTTCTTGGTGTTGTTAAAAAGGAGAACACTGGTACTCGACAAAAACACTGAGACGGTAGAGAAATGGCGATTGTTGTCCTCTCCAAGTTTAACCAATCAGCGTTTGTCAACTCTGAATTTAGCCAATTAACGTCAAGACCTACACAGTAGTTTTCAGGGCTGCACAGAACTCTGGAGAAAATATTTTTGTCTGCTTGCCCTGAAAGAAGTTCTACAGGGACAGTTCCTGTGGTCGGAACATGCAAAAGGATTTAGGCCGCCCTCTAACAGACTAAAAGATACTGCAGTGGAAAGGGTTACACAAAAAAAGTGAGTCGAAAGGAATATATTGATAAGGGGGGCAGTGATGGTAGTTGTAGCATTCTTTGTTTTATTTCAGAAGATATATGCTGCTTTTATTGAGATCTTTGGGGGTACAAGACTGAAATCAGATCTCAGGTCCAGAATCTGAACAATGGACAGAACCAAAAAAACAAAACATGCACGATCCACAGAAACAGTGTCTGGTTAGTGAGTTCACAACCTACTATCATCCTGTGGCCCCCCTGAAAGCTAGGAACCATTGTTCTGGTGAGTGTTTGGAGCAGCAGGAGGCGTATGTGCAAACCACAGTGTGTGTTGATGGTGTCCAGTGTTGCTCTTTGTGGCACAGAGGAATAAAAGATAAACCGTGAGCAGCTGGTTTTGGTCTTTCCGTGGGATCGGCTGACGATGAGAACAACGGCTTTTAAAGGATAAGATGTCGACTCACCTTGGCCTTCTCGGTGGGCTCGATGACGATGCCGTTGGTGGAGTTGTTGAGCTCCCGGGAAACTACACATAGAAACTCTGCCTGGTCCTCGTTGCCGTAGTTATACGAGGAGCCGATGCTGATGAGCTGAGGATAGAAGACAGAAAAAGAGAAAAGACGCTGAAAATCTGAACAACCTCTACCTGCGCATCGTTGGTAACGCGCTACTTATGCAATTTCCTAAGTTCTCAATGACTAACAGCAGCTGGTGGCTTTAAAATTGTCTGATATTTCCAGATTTTACATTTTCATAATACAAAACACTTTTTCGATCCCTTACTTTGACAAACTACACAAACTTATAAGAATAACAAAAATGTCTCCCATCATTTTCAGAAATCTTGCACACTGTGTGAACCTTTTGCGACCACAACAGTTGTGTATACTGCATGCATACGTTGCCATTTTTAGATCTTGGCTTTCCTATTTTATCGCATGTCTCACCTGTTGTCACTATGATGTTTGCACCTTTTACCAGGCACATGTCCGACACTCTGCTAGTCTTTGTGCATTTACATTCATATTTAGTCCATGTTTTAACTTCTCCATCGTTTATCGACCTGTGCTAGATGTTTGCCGGATGTTGTCTGACTGTTTGGCTGAGCAGTTCGGCTCTCATCATATATAAAGACACCTAAAGAGTCTGTAACAGACAATTTATGTTTGGTCCATGTGTGAAGGCCGATAAATGGGTAGCGACTACGCTCGTGGTTCTGTTCATTCTACAATAGGTACACGTCAATCCGCGGTGTGGACATTTCTTTTTAACGATTTATGGCATTAAAACCGTGTCATACTGCACAGACGTCCTTTTTGAGCTCTCTGTACTTCTAGCCATGGTCTTGCTGCTTCCATAGAGGTGCAGGACTTTATATTACTCTGAAAACTGAGCCCACAGTGAGCAAAAATGTGGTAGAAGAAAGAAACACCCAGAAACTGTTGAGGATTAAACTATTTGGTCCTGAGTCTTTTCTCACTCAGGCATAAAAACCTCAAAATCTGGGTCCACACAGCAGCTAAAACATAAACTAAAACATGACTAAATTTGAAAAAAAACAGAGCTGCTTTTCTGCACCTGCTCAAACTTCCAGCCGTCCGACATGGTTGAGACCATCTGTGTGAGTTCCTCCTCTTGGCACTGTAGTACTCGGTACACGTGCTTCACAGGGCCCTGAGGGACACCGACAAAAACAGCATCAATAATCTGCATGCAAGCACACATTTGGTTTGAACAAAAACAAAAAAAGCGATTCTGGTTGTAGTTGCACGAGAAGAAAGTCTGGTTATGTTCCCATCGCTCTGCCTCACGTACCTGAGATGTGCGGTTCTCGTTGTCCCGTATCCTCTCCTTCACCAGCCGTACCAGAGACGCGATGTTGTAGAACTCGGCTTCCTCGAGAACACCTGAAACACAAACGAATGGTTAAGACGTCACCGTTTGGTTTCTGACGGCTGCAGCTCGGCATCACGTTTTGCAGCTTTTACCTTCTTCGGCCAGATTCTTATCCATGATCAGCTTTCCATGCCGAAGGTAGTTCAGGATGGGGCCGAAGTATGTGGGGTCCCTGTCGATCAGGTAGGCGCCTGTCTCGTCCTGGAAGAACACAACGGCGGTTAGCGTCTGAAAACACGCTGCACAAACTATAACACTGGGAAGAGGAATATCATATCAGTTATGTAAAGAAGTGTGACTTCTCTACCACCAAAACCCAGACATTAGACCCTGACAGATGCACTGACTGGAGCTACATAATCAGCCGACTTCACCTTTTTTTAAAACACATGGGTACCTGCATATATTCCAACTAAGATACGATACGTTTGAGCTCATTTGGTGGATAAATTATGTATCTCAGCAGCTCTGAAATAGAACACAAGTCTGCATTATTTTTCTGAATTTACTGTCACTTCTCAGAAAATATCAATTACTGTCTTCTACATGAACATTTTATTTTGTTCATGTGTTATTTTATATTCCAACTCACCTAGAATCAGAGCTTATATGATCTACTTGTCCAATATTACAGATTCTGAATCGATGACATGAGGAGAAATTTCAGTGAAAACATCTTTAACAGTTCCTGAGATATTGTTGTCTTGTAATGTCGAACAAACCTGCTGAAAGTGGGTCAACAGGCAATTTTCAAAAAACGTATTTTCTGAAAATTATTTGATATAGCAAGCTAAAACTTCACAATTATCTTTGCAAAAATTTCATATTTTATGCTATAAAAAATGTCAAGAAAATCAGAGCACAAATTTTTATGATTTCAGATTAAAGGACCCCAACTTAAACAAATCATGCTGCAACTTTTTTCTTGCAAAAAGAAATCCGGCACAGTTCTCATTTTCCATGTAACGTCTGATAGAACATACTTTACTCTGGTTTAAGGGTTCTTAGACACACAGAGCTTTTAAAACTCTGTTTACAAGACAATGATTTATTGACACGAAGGCTCCACGTGTGCAGAGCAAACTGAGGGATTAACAGGAGAGAAACACTGAAAAGAACGATTTGTTGGCAAAAAGAAACACCATGTGAGTTGTGTGGAAATGTTTTAGATACAGAAAGGATGAAGTTGAACAAAACAGGTGCTGTGTCAGCACTGTTTTCCAACACAGCCAACTTGTTTGACCATTTAAATCTACCAGTGCAGACTGAGACAGTAAGATAAAGGCTCCAAAGTGCTTTTTTTTAGATGTATTTATTTTCTAAACAGATGTGCTCCCCTCTGTTATCACCTCAATTATTCTAGAGCGAAGCGATGAAATTAATAGTTTCAGGAGCAAAGCTGCACCAGTTTCATAACCAGCACTGGTACCCTGCATGTTACATTCTAAAACACAGACCATGTTTGGGCTCAACAGAACCAACGCAACAGTTCACATCAATCTGTTTGAGTTAAGACGACTTCTAATGAAATCCTGCTCAATCAAAAAGCTACACAGAGTAAGGTGAGTTCGATTTCCCCCTTAAATTAAAGGTATTTCTCATTACTCACTGTTTAAAGCAGCTTTTCATAAATTTTTAAAGGATTTTTTCTGGAACGATGAACTCTCTCCATGTGGTGAACGTATTGTTTCATATAGCAAATATGAATAAATAATAAAACACATTGTTAAGTGCTCTGAGCACCACTCAGGTAGGAAGTGTAAGTGCTGACCATTTACCATTTAAAGGTGAGCGTGTCTTTCCCATCTGGACCCCTCGGTTCTGGTATAACCGACCCGAGGACATAAAGCTCGCAGGATCGCAGAGTCTCTTAAATTTGTTTCTAAAATCAGTTTTAGTGGACTAGCTTTTTATCTCGTCTCTGTTGCTCCCTTTTATTCAGCTTTCATTTCTATCAACTGTTTCTATGAATCTGTTTGAACGGGTATTTAGTATTTTTTTATATATTATCTATATTTCTCCACTTGATGCTTCTCTTTTTGTTTGTGTTGTATTATTAACATCTTTCTGATGATTCCTGAGGACTGTTTTTTCTTGGCTCTGTCTGTCAAACCACTTTGTTATTACAGATAAGAATAAAGTTATTATTATATTGCAATATATGTTGCAGAAACGTTAAATATTGCATGGTGCTGCCCTGCTCTTGAAGTAAACCTTGCATAATGCATGTTTGTGTCTCTGCATGTCACAGCTTGTAGCAGAACAGAGCAGGAACATTATGGAGATGATTTATTTATTATTTCACTTTTTATTGTTCAGCTTTCTGCAGAACATTTTGTACCGTGTTAACAGTCTATCTGCATGTTTGTTTGTTTGTTTTTATTTCCGGTTCTGCTCGTGGACGTGTTTGGGTTTTCTGACAGAAGAACTCACTTTGTCCGAGTCCAGGTCCGGGTCCTCCTGACACAGCCTGAACAGGAAGGACTTGGGGTCTCGACATAACGTCTGTTTGGTCGTGATGAAGTAGGTCCCGCCGACGTTCAGCCGGACCCAGCGGGAGCCCGGCTTGTCCACCGGTTCGGACGGGGAGCTCGGGTTGCTCTTCACCGGGAAGCCGAACACCGACCGGGCTCCACCGCCGCCGCCGCCACCGCCGCTGGTGCTCGACACCCCGCCGGGACTGAGCTGGCTGCTCCGCGGAGGAACCATGAGAGTGGGCGACGCCAGGCGCACCGAGCCCCGGACCGAGTCGCGGTGCTCGGGCTGCTCTATGGTGCCAGTACCGCTCGGTTCCACTACATGCAGTTCAGCCATGTTTTCGTCTCCTGTCTAGAAAAACACACTCGCGGCTAGCTAACGACACACTGCGGGGAAACGGGCTCTCGGAGCGACTTGTAAACAGCGACGGGATTTCTGTCCGACTCGGCGGCTCATCAGGGCGTTGCTGCCCGCAGTTCACCGCCCGCTCCGCCGACACCGAGGATTAACACGCCGATGTGACTACGGAAGGCTGGACGTCGTTCGCAGCATCGCGTTTAACCGTCTCTGCTGAAGATAAATCGGTCATTCTTTCTGTTCAAACGTTCATCAGAGAAACGCAGTGCTTCCGGGTTGTAACGTGATTACTGTTTACTACCGCTGTGTCACCGCCTTTCAAAATAAAAGCAGCTCCAGTTTCACAGCCTCCAACCAGCCCTTTTTTTTTTTTAAATTTTTTAAAATTTTTTTGTTATTTTAACTTTTTAATCACAATTAGAATCAGAAACACTTTATTGATCCCTGAGAGGAAATTTCTTAAGCTACCGTTGCTCCCATTTAAGTAAGAAACAGTAACAAAAAAAATAAAAAATAAAATAAAATAAATATATATATATCCATAAGAACAATATGTGAACGAACATACAAACGTAAGTGTAAAATATGACCTGAAAATACAAACATGAGTATAAAAACATGTCCTAAAATGTAAACATAAGCAGACAGTATAAGCAAACTGTAAAATGGGTTTTTCCTAAGAAAACAAGTGTAATATACCGTGTAATAAGTTTCACAGAGGCAATAAATTATTATTCATATTATGAACAGTAACTTCAGTATTAATATAATAGATAGTAGTCATTAAATAGTATTTAATGAAATCATGCAAATTTTTACCTTCACACTAATTTCATGCTAAATGTGTAACTTGACAAAAATAAATAAATAAAAAACTATAAAATATTGAACTCTAGTGCATTTTGTATATTTAAAAAGTTTTTGTACAATATTCTTTTTTTGTACATAAGATAATTACTCCCGTAGCGTGGAGATTTGCTGTGTTACAGCAGCAAACATTTAGGAAATGTTGTACAAAAAATTAAAAATAAACCAAATATACATAAGCAGTAGATTAAAGAAATAACAGTATTGCACATGTCAGTGGTATTGCACAGATTCTTTTATAAACAGAAATACTCAGAAAAGTATTAATATTAATACTAATATTGAAGATATTATATTAGATTGCACAGATTATATGTAAGTAGAAAAATAGATATTGCATAGGGATTTTAAAAATACAGAATAGCCATCATTCACAGAATGTGTCAATATTATAACAAGAGAAGTATGACAGTTTTTTAGTGTGAGGTACATATACAGGTATGAATGCAACATGATTATTTTTCTGCTCAGTCTGTGCAATATCAGTATTTTTCTACATACAGAATAGACCTGTACAATATCATTACTTTTCACATTCAGTGGGATCTATGCAATATCTGAAAGAATCTGTACAGTATCAACTGCACTAATGTGTATTATCCTGTTTATTTATTTTGAGTGATGGCCATCTATTTTTTTGCACTATCCCATTGTAAATTTCCCCACTGTGGGACTAACAAAGGCGGATTTTATCTTAATGACAAATAAAATAAATAAAATTGAACAAATACAATGAATACGATAAATAAAGTCAATTAAAGTTAGACAAAACAAGAAAAAATGAATAAAAATATAAACATGATATGAAAATTTTTTTAAATTCCTTCATTCCGATGGCCTCTTCATGATGAAACTCTAGAAATTCAGACATTTTTAAGTAACAACAGCTTGGTGACAAACAATCAGCAGTGTTGTCATTCAGTAGCTGCAGGACGCAGTTCGGCCTTTAGGGGGCGGAGCGGCGCTAAAAGCTGCACAGATTAAATCCGTAGAAGAAGAAGGATTTGACTGTTGTTCGGCGCCTTAGTTACCTTCTCTGCTGAACGCTGCTGAATTGCTCATAACGCCACTGACAGGTAAAGTGTTGACTCCGAATTTTAGTTACACCTGAAATAGGGCGTAAAATTACTGAGCTACGTTGTTATATGCATTTATGTATGTATTATTACATGTTTGGTTTGCTAGCTCCTAGTTAGCATCCTCATCTTGAAGGCTAGTTAGCCAGCTAGCATTAGATATCTGTTAGCTTCGCATCACTACCAAGAGAGAAGAAGTCACTAAATTATAGCCTTTATATTACTGCCTTATAATCAGTGCATGTGCCACCTAAGCTATGGATCATATTTGTCGTTAAGAGTTTTAATATTTATGTTCTCTGTAACGGGGCAAAGCTGTCCTCCTCCTCCTTCTCTCTCCTTCAAAACAAACCGTGCTGTCTTCCTCCCAGCTGCCTGAGCCATGAGTGAGTTTAGGATCCACCACGACGTGAACGAGCTGCTCAGCCTGCTTCATGTGCGGGGAGGTGATGGAGCAGAGGGCTACATAGACTTACTGCAGAAGCACAGGACCCCATATGTCACCACTACAGTCTCTGCTCACAGCGCCAAGGTGGGTGATGCTACACACAGGAATATCTTGATACAGCTTCCAAGTCGTGGCATTGACAAAACTGACCATAACGTCCCCCTAGTATTAAGAGTCCTCCTGTGAGAATGGTATCTGTTGAAGGAAGAGTGACCATGTATTGGACTTGAAACACCTGAATTGTAGTGGCAAATGCTCTCAAACGAAATGCCCAGTTTGTGCTTTGTCCTCAGATTTATTACACACATTGATTCAGCTCATTATTTATGGATCCACTGTAGCCTTGCTGACTCACCAGATGTAGGCTGTGGGTAAAAGCCTGCTATCGGTCACTGATTTTATATGGCTTTGTCCTTCCCTTCAGCTATCTGCATGGTACTACTTTTAAAATCCACTTCACTTTTTGATGGATTTTAGTCACAGAGCTTGCATCCGTGCTCACAAATTTCATTCAACAGTTCCATGACAGTAACATGTATAAATAAGGGAGTCAATTCTAACTCGCAAATAATTAATTTAAAAGCTGTTTGCATTGATGGCATCATTGACTTGTGTCCCATCCTTTGAATATATATGAGCCAAAAGGCATGAAAAGGCTTGAATGAATTTATAGGAGGAAGTTACTGTGGATGTTGTTTTCATATCAGCTGTTCTTTCATTTTTAGGTGAAACTAGCAGAGTTCTCTAAAACACCTGAGGATTTCTTAAGGAAATATGAAGAGCTCAAATCCAAAAATGTTCGCAACCTTGACCCTTTGGTGTATCTGCTCTCCAAACTCTGCGAGGATAAAGAGGTAATGCATAATTTACACACTGCTTTTTATATGTTTTTGTATGTTGTTAGTTAGTAATCAGAATATTGATAAATTTAAAAACTCCTCTCCTGGAAACAGCACAACAAGCCTTCCAAAGTGGTAAATGACAATGACTTAACACATTTTCTAGTATGAATATCTAGCCACTATAAAAACTATCCAGCGTTAAAATAAGTTTTTAAAACAAGGCTTAGAGTTAAGTCTGTGTTGATGATGCCTGAACAGCAATGCTAGAAACTAGAGTATTGAGTTTAGGAGGAACAGTATTATATAGGTTCCTAAAAACTCAGTTTACTTAAAGCATTTTATCATACAGTACACAAACTACTGCATCTTAAAATGATGCTAAATCAAAAAATATTTGTCTTATAATTCAGCTCAGTTTAGCAGAAATTACTGCAAATGGCTGCTTCATTTTGTTAAGCAGATTCCAGACAACCAAGACATGTATTCATTTACGTCTCCTGGTTGAAAACATGATACATTTTTAGATCTAAAATCACATCTTTGTGACGATGTTTTCACAGATGCTCCAGTTTCTGCAGCAGAATGCCAAAGAGAGGTCGGAGTCATCGGCGAACACAACCTCAACCACCACCACCAGTTACACTCTGCCTCAAACCAGCACCAAGATTTCTATGCAGGAGCTGGACGAGCTGCGAAAGAAGCTCGGCAACGTGACAGCGAGCTCCAACGCTCCTCTGGTGAGCATTACTTACTCAGATGTGGTAGAGCTGAAGGTTAGGTTGGCCCACAAAGGATGGATCATGATAGACTTTTCAGCTATATTGCCCAGCCCTAGCTTAGCATCTGATGCTGCTCATAGTTCATCAGTGTCTCTTTGTGAATTTTCCTGCAGCCTGCTGAAGTCACACGGAAGATGCTGAGAGACAAACACAACAAGAAGAACCCGACGCAGCCGAACCCCGTGTTCCCTAACTGGGTGTACGACCGTCCTGCGCTGCTCGGAGACTTCATCACCAGCCCGACTCCTCCAGGAGATTCAGCTGTGGCCGTTGGTACGCCTGTAGACTTTCACCTTCACCTCGTCTACATGTACCAAAGATTATCAAATTCATTAAAAGGCTGCATTGATATTGTCTGTGGTCAGGTACGTTGCCCCTGGGGACTCAGGAACAAGCTCTAGTGGAGGATCTGCTGTTTGTCCTGATCGGAGTTGATGGACGAGACATCACCGCTCAGCCTGTCCTGGGAAGGCAGAACCGCTCCTTCATCGTTGATTCAACACTCGACATGTCTATCAAAGAGCTGGTTAACAGAATATTACCAGTCGCGTCGTATTACTCCACTATAACACGGTAGGAGGAGTAGCAAGATCAAGATGTCTCCAGGTTGAAAACAGAAACTTTTAAAGGTGTTTAAAAAATCTGACATTTAATTTTTCTTAAAACTATATTTCAGTTTGCTGTAGGTAGTAATGTTGCTTATAACCTGTATTTGTATGTGATTTTCTTAAATACTGACATGAAAATCTCCTTTACTGTTGTTCCAGGTCTCTGATGTTATGTGAAGTTTTGTATAAATTAAATGTATGTAGTAGAAGTTGGATCCTTCCATCCAGTTTCTGCTTCTCATCCAGATCAAGATCATGTTCAGTGATTATTTAATGATATTAGTTGGAATTACTGTGATACAGAGCCTGGATGGAGCGACAAAAATGTAACATAAATGCCAATTAATTCATGTAGTTATTGTACTTTCGATATTTATAGGTCACATCATCCCCTTTGGATATTGCTCATATTTGGGTCAGCACAATCCTGGAACAGGTTTTTAAATCGCATTGCTTTGTGGTGTTTGTCCACCAGGTTCATTGAGGAGAAGTCGTCCTTCGAGTACGGTCAGGTGAACCACGCCCTGACGGCGGCCATGAGGACCCTGATGAAGGAGTACTTGATCTTGGTCACTCAGCTGGAGCACCTCCAGCGGCAGGGCCTGCTGTCCCTGCAGAAGCTCTGGTTCTACATCCAGCCCACCATGAGGACCATGGACATACTGGCATCCATCGGTAAGAGTCTCAACGTGAGCTGTGTGGCCGCTGTCTTATGT